GGAGACGTGGCCGCCGCCGGAGACGTGGCCGCCGCCGGAGACGTGGCCGCCGCCGGAGACGTGGCCGCCGCCGGAGACGTGGCCGCCGCCGGAGACGTGGCCGCCGCCGGAGACGTGGCCGCCGCCGGAGACGTGGCCGCCGCCGGAGACGTGGCCGCCGCCGGAGACGTGGCCGCCGCCGGAGACGTGGCCGCCGCCGGAGACGTGGCCGCCGCCGGAGACGTGGCCGCCGCCGGAGACGTGGCCGCCGCCGGAGACGTGGCCGCCGCCGGAGACGTGGCCGCCGCCGGAGACGTGGCCGCCGCCGGAGACGTGGCCGCCGCCGGAGACGTGGCCGCCGCCGGAGACGTGGCTGCCAGAGAGCCTCCTGGGTCTGCACATGCAGAAGGCTTGGAGAGGGGGCTGGAGACGGCACCCGGGCTGCTGGCTGGTGGCGCCCCAGCTTCCATGGCGGAGAATTTCTCAGAAGGCCCCACAAGTGCAGCAAGCTCGGCAGAAGACAGGCTGTTCTTCAGGGCTGAGGGAGACGATACGCCTGGGGCTCAGTATCAGAGCAAAGCCAGTGACCATGAAGGTTTATTGTCTGACCCCCTGAGCGACCTCCAGTCTCCCTCGGATGTTAAATCTCCAGCCATGGCTGAACTGAACCTAACCCTTCCTTCCATTCCTGAAGTCGCATCGGATGATGAAAGAGGAGATCAGGCTGAAGATGGCAGAAAGACAGCAGAGTTGGCACCTGCGCAAGTAGGAGCTTCTTCCTTGAGCACGTCGCCTCCCTGTCCGGAGGAGGGAAGAGGGCCAGTGCCTGCCGGGGACCTGCGTGACTTTGGGACCGAAGCACCCACAGAGGCCATCGATGCCCCTTTGGTGCAGGCCACAGCTCCAGGAGGTCACATGCCACAGCATGGCGAGAGCTCGAGCTTGGATAAACAGCTGCCAGGCCCTGGCGGTGGCGAGGAAGAAAAACCGAAGGGAAGCGGGAGGCCGGGTCAGCCTGCTGGCCTGTCCCTGGACTCTGCCGTGGCCAGTCCCCCCCTTTCTGAGACCTTTCCTGCCACACACTCTTTCCCCAGCTCTCCATGTTCTGACACTCACCACACCAGTACAGCAGAATCTCCAAAAAAGGTAAAGAATTTCTCAGAAGGCCCCACAAGTGCAGCAAGCTCGGCAGAAGACAGGCTGTTCTTCAGGGCTGAGGGAGACGATACCCCTGGGGCTCAGTATCAGAGCAAAGCCAGTGACCATGAAGGTTTATTGTCTGGCCCCCTGAGCGACCTCCAGTCTCCCTCGGATGTTAAATCTCCAGCCATGGCTGAACTGAACCTAACCCTTCCTTCCATTCCTGAAGTCGCATCGGATGATGAAAGAGGAGATCAGGCTGAAGATGGCAGAAAGACAGCAGAGTTGGCACCTGCGCAAGTAGGAGCTTCTTCCTTGAGCACGTCGCCTCCCTGTCCGGAGGAGGGAAGAGGGCCAGTGCCTGCCGGGGACCCGCGCGCCCTTGGGCCCGAAGCACCCACAGCCTTTCTGAGACCTTTCCTGCCACACACTCTTTCCCCAGCTCTCCATGTTCTGACACTCACCACACCAGTACAGCAGAATCTCCAAAAAAGGTAACAGCAGAGGGCTGCGCCGGTAAAGTTGACAGTTTTGGCAAGAGGAAGCCGCTCCTTCAGGCCTGGGTGTCCCCCTCCGAGACGCGCACGGGCTCGGCTCAGCCGGGCGCGCACAGGTGAGACACTGGGAGGCTTGGCTTTGTGAGGGTGACAGGGGCTCTGCCATAGCTTTCTCCTGCAGAGGTCATGGCTTTCCGACCACGCAGATGTCCCAGTGTCACACCGCGCCTGTTTGGCCAGTGTGGCCTATTTTAGGAGGGCCGTCCCTTGTGGTGGTAATACCTCAAGACGCTGCTGCATTTGGAAGAGGAACACAGTAGTAGTCGTCAAAGGTGGCTTAGGAATTGTTCTGCACTGTCAGATTTGGAGCACTCAAATTGCAGAAATGTGGTGTGGCTGATATATATATATATATATTTTTTCCTGGCAGCTGGTCATTATGGGGATCCAAACCCTTGACCTTGTGCTCTAACCAACTGAGTTAACCGGCCAGCCGCTGTGACCAGTATCTTAACAGTCTCAGAAACCAACTGAGATGGAGCAGTAGAGTCTAGTGGTGGTGAAAACCTCTTTTAAGCACTGCCTGATGTGCAGCTGGCACGCTTGTTCTAGACTCTTTCTTTACAGTGGAGGCACAGAAGGCTCTGCAGGGAGCTCCACAGAGGGGTCCTCGGCTGTAGCTACCTCCAAAAAATAAGAGACTGCCTTTAATATTCCCCTGTTGCTCATCACAAGACTAAGGGTCTTGTGGGTACGCCGGGACACCTGGCCAAGGATGCGCTTTGCTGGCTATGCAGTGGCTGCTGAGTCCTGACTGCTTCATTTCCACAGGGGCTGAGACGCTGGAGTGTGTCGGACAGAGTAGAGAGCAGAGTGTGTCACTGTCCCCCTGGTCTGCCTTGCTGGCTGCCTTCTTTGAGATGGGTAGTTTCTTGGTTTTCTGGCTACGGAAAGGTCTAAGGATCCTTTTTCCCTTCTCTTTTAGACTTCATCCTGTGAAGCCAATGAGCACAACAGCTACCAAGATTGCAAACTCCAGCTTGGGAACTGCCACCATCATCAGTGAGAACTTGATCAATGAAGCCATGACGAAGGTATGTCTTGTAAGAAGCAGGCACGTTAGTTAGGGACCTACAGAGCACCTGTCACTGGAGTCGCCATTGTATACACCTCCTTGGGCAGCAGCAGAGCCAGGAGTTAATCACGAGTCCGGTGTCTTGGGTGAGCTTTGGGAGCCCCCAGACTTTCCGTTGGATAATTAGCTTTTTTCCTTATAGTTATTTTGCTATTGTTAAATATTTTTATTTCTCGAGCAGCATGATTGACACCAGTACTTCTGTTGTTTATTTATTTTTTTGGTGGCTGGCTGATACAGGGATCAAACCCTGGACCTACACTTCTTTTTAACTAGAAGAAAGTGTCACCCACAGTCTGGCCCATTCAAGTCAGATGTTTTCTTTTTCCCGTGTTTCCTTTCTTATCTTTTGGCAGGAATATAAAATTCTTGTAGATGTAATTGTTGCATAGATGTACTTTTTTGAAACTTTTTTTGAAATAGTTTCAAACATTAAAAAAGTTGCAAGAGTGGTACGAAGAGCTCCTGTAAACGTCCATTCCTGTTTCACCCACTGTTAGCGTCTGGCCAGGTCTGCTTTAGCATCCTTGCAGTACCTTCCTCCCCTTCTGTCTGTGCACACACACATGCAGATGCAGGCACTTTTTTCTGAACCATTTGAAAGTAAGTTATATATGTTGTGCCTCTTTCACACCTAAACACTTAAGTGTGTAATTCTAAGAATAAAGATGTTCATCGGGGGCCGGCCTGTGGCTCACTTGGGAGAGTGCGGTGCTGACAACACCAAGGCCACGGGTTCGGATCCCATATAGTGATGGCCGGTTGTTCACTGGGAGAGCGTGGTGCTGACAACACCAAGTCAAGGGTTAAGATCCCCTTACCGGTCATCTTTTAAAAAAATAAATAAATAAATAAAAATAAAGATGTTCATCGAAATCGGGAAATTTAACGTCGATGTTTTGAACAACTGTTTTCTCATCTATACTCCATATTTTAATTTTACCCATTGTTCCAATAGTTTCCTTTTTAGTCTTTCTGTTCTTTGTTTTCCCAGTTCAGGATCACTCACTATTTATTTGTCTTGTCTCTGTAGTCTTCTTTATTCTGGAATAGTTCTTTGCCCCCCCCCGCCCCTTTTTTTTCTCTTTTACAACAAAGACATTTTAAAAGATTTTAGATCAGTTCTGTAGAATTTTCCTCAGTTTGGGTTTGTGCGATGTTTTCTCATGACTTGGTGGAGGTGATGCATTCTTGGCAGGAATTAGCTACACAAATAATGTGTCATCGTCAGTATTTTGCATAATGAGGTTCATGATATCAGTTTTTCCCACTAGTGGGAGTGTTAACCCTGATGACTTATTGAGGTGTCTGCCAGGTTCTCCACTGGAACAAAGCTACTATTTTTCCCTTCATAATTAATACAACATATGCAGGGAATTAATTTCAGACTATGTAAATATTCTCTTCTTCATCAAACTTTTACTCTCAGGCCTTAATATCCATTGGCGAATATAGTGTTTGCAAAATGGTGATTTCCCAACCTCATCACATGCACAGAAATGCTCTTACATTCTCTTTTACACTCAGCAGTACATCATAAACATTTTTGCATGTTACTTAATCCTACTTAATTCTTAGTTCTATTTAATTCTTTGAAATGGGTATGCCAGTATTTACTTAACATTCCCCTATTATTGGATATTTAGTTTGTTTTCTGTTTTTCAATATGAATTAACACTGTAGGCAGCAATTTCCTACATAGAACTTTTCATCTTCTTTTAGATTATTTCCTTAAGCTAAATTTCCAGGAAGAATATTGCTGGATTAGAGAGTCTCTTCTCTTTAAAAAGTGGGGGCTAACATTAAAAAAACAGCTCCTCCCCACAAATACAAAACCAACCTCTCCCATGATCTCTGCTTTGGAGTGTCTTCATCCTGCCCTTTCTGGTTCTAAACTCAGAAGGATTTAGAATACTGCCTTGTCGCACACCCTTGGTCTTCGACTCATTACCACATGGACTGGAAGAGAATGACGGACTGACTGAGGTATTGGTGACCTTTAGTGGGCAAGGATGTGTTGTATTTCGTATGTGTGGAGAGGAACTTTGAGACCACTGGGAGCTGCAGTCTGTAGAAATAAACTTTGTTTTTATTTTAGTTAAGGACAGCTGAAAGTTTCATATAGTCATAGATTTTACAATCCCGTGGACTCCAGGACTTCAAATAGTTTTTTGTTTTTTTTTAAATAAACATGTTGGCTTGTGCATCCTTCACTTGTGGAAGCGTTTTTCAAAGCGCCTCTGCCACCAGGAGCTGGGATGCAGGTTTACTAGAAGCTGGAGGGTCATGATGAGGTGTCGCAACTAATCGTTGCTGAAGACAAGGTGGCCTCCTCCAGCTTTCTTGCCTGCTCTTCCCATGTGGAAGGTGCTGACTGGACGGGTGGGAAGCACTGTTCTCAGAGCTACCAGCCATAGCCGGAACTGCGTACATAGCTGCTTTATAGCCCTAGCCTAAAAATATATAGCCTAGTGCTATAAGTCGACCCACTCAGCTTGGCTGGCTTCTCTGTGGTTGTTGCAGGTAAGAGAGGCAGCACTTGTCTTCCTGGAGCTGATGACATTTACTAGGAAATTGGGCAAAGGAACAGCATGAAGGGGATAGTAATAAAAATCAGAGTAATTCAGCAGCCTCCCATCCCCTCTTTTACTGTGGAATGCAATGTGGCTCCAAAGAGAAACAATCGCCTCCTTTTCAGGAAGTTAGCAAGACCCTTGGCTCCCATGTTATTTACACTTCAAGGCTCATTTAATCAGGGGCTTATCTCCTGGCCCTGATTAAGAGAATACAAAACAAAGGCAGCCGCTGCTTGCTTTGCTCACGATTTGTAAGCCCTGCCCTGCGCCACTGCCTCCTGCAACAGAGCTCCAGGCCCTGGACCGTACCTAGTAAATACTCTAAGTAAGTGTGTGAAGTTTCCCGGGGACAGTCCTGTTGCCCTGCTGTATCACAGACGCTTTGTGCTAAGGCATAAAACAACATTTATAAAAATAACTGCTCTTTGGAATGTTGCGAAATGAGAGAGAGGTTAGAGAAGGAAATCCTCTAGCTAAAGTTGTGAAAAGCTCGCTGGAACAATGATTTTTTTCCCCCTTGTTTATTGTTTGAGGGCCTCCCTTCTTTATAGATGATTTATAACTAGGAGTGTATTATTTACCCAGGTGGCTTTAACACTTCCATTTGAAAACAGCAAAGACAACTAGATCTAAAAATCGTTTGTTACATTATATGGAAAAAGTTGGACACACATTTAAACGTTCGTCATTTATTGCAACTTTGTAAAAGGAAAAATCCAGTGTAGGAAACACGTGACAGGGGCACCGTTCATGCTCGCCCCAGTGGAGGTTCTCCCTGTGCCTCTTCACTTCCATGGCTGTTGCTCATTTTCTGTAATGCTGGATTGTTTTATAATTTTTTAACCATCACATAACTAGGATCTTCTAATGATTCCAAAGTCCTATATATCTTCTTTCCCCTTTGAGTTACAGAATCCACATCGAATAGCGGTGTGACAGTTTATATGAAGTACCTTAAGTGTATGTGCTTTTTCAATTCTAGGTACTCATGTTAAGGAAATATTTATAGAGATGTGGCTAAAGATTTATGGTCATGCATTTTAATAAAAATGTTATAACTATGAAAAATGAAAACAATCTAAATATCCAGCAATAACAGGATAGTTAAAATATAATGGAATTTTAAACAGCTATTAAAAAGCAATTTTTGACTAAAATTTAATGATGGGAAAATGCTGACAAAATAAAAATCATAAAAAATTATAAAACCATGTTCTGTATCGTGCTAACATTGTAAAACATACCATAAAAAACCCCAGGAAAAATAAGAAAGAGACTCAAATGTTATGTGTTAGAATTGTAGGTAATGATTTTTCTCCCTTCTGTATTTGAAATTTTATAATTAAAATAAATTTTTTTGGTTATTTTTGGAGAAAAAGAATTTTAGTTCACATGCAGCTTCATCTCTGAAGCTCGTCCCGCTCACCCCAGCCTCTTATTATGGTGGGTCACTGAGCCACTGTGCATGTCACACTCTGTGCAGACCTGGTGTTGCCAAGTGATAAGCCCTGGCCCTGCCCTCCAGGTGTCAGCTTCTTCGTCTTTCTATCTCCCAAACTCCCTTGCAGAGTATTTTATGTAATAAACATTTTTGAATAAATGAAATCCTTCTGTGACAGAGGTGCAATATAAGAGGACATATTCTGGCCATTATTTACAAAGACAACTTTTTCTCGATATGAAATGTAAATAGACATGCAACTTTTTGAAAAAAATTGTGGCAAAATGCACATAAAAATTTACTATTTTAGGGTCAGCCTTTGGCTCACTTGGGAGAGTGTGGTGCTGACAACACCAAGTCAAGGGTTAAGATCCCCTTACTCACTTGGGAGAGTGTGGTGCTGATAACAACAAGGCCACAGATTCGGATCCCTATGTAGTGATGGCCGGTTGGCTCACTTGGGAGAGTGTGGTGCTGACAACACCAAGTCAAGGGTTAAGATCCCCTTACAGGTCATCTTTAAAAAAAATAATAATAAATAAATTGCTATTTTAACTCTTTTTAATGTGCAGTTCAGTAGTATTAAGTACATTCACATTGCTATGCAACCAATTCCCAGAACTCTTTTTTGGACATGCAACTTTTTTGTTGAATGTCGTTTTGGAAGTCACACATAGAGTGATTGAGGTCCAGAGGAGGTACCCTGTGAATTCAGGCCTTCCACATGTTTGGGGGGCAGAGGGAGAATAAGGCAGAAGCAGTTTTTGGAAAGTAGTCCAGCATCTCACCTATTTATGTGCAGCGTGTGTTGGGTTGAAACCTGCTCTGTATATGAATGTCAGTGTGTGTTTCTAAGCCTTTGAGCTTCATTCCTGGCCGGGTTGAAAGGGCTGGATTCCTCCTCTGAATCCTGGCTGGTGTGTGGGCAGTTTGCTTCACTGGACTGAACTGGGGCTTCATTGTGTCGTTGAAGAGCCGGTGTTGATTCTGCTCTTGGCTTAGCTTCTTTTTGGAGAAGGTAGTCTCTTAGCCTTCCTGGTAGACAGTGAAACTGCTAGACACTCAGGGCAATAAAATTGTCATTGGCTCACAGTTCTGCAGGCAAAATGGTCTCAGAGTTGCTCCAGGATCTTGTTTCTTTAAACTTGTAAAACTCCCGAGCCACAGATTTCAGGAAAAGTCACTTTTTTCCCCCTTACTGAAGACTTGATACAACATGTTAATTCTTATTTAATCTTTATTTTGTGTTTCCTCATGGTTCAGGCCTCTTGGGCTTGCAGCTGGACTCCAGTCGTCCCAGGTTATAAATGCTGACAGTTTTTTTCCCCCTTACTGAAGACTTGATACAACATGTTAATTCTTATTTAATCTTTATTTTGTGTTTCCTCGTGGTTCAGGCCTCTTGGGCTTGCAGCTGGACTCCAGTCGTCCCAGGTTATAAATGCTGACAGAGTAAAGGAACTCTTCAGGGCACCTGCTCTCAGGGGAGGGGGAACATTCAGCTCTGGTACAGGCCATTGCGTACCCAGAGGGTGTGCCCTGCCTGGATCTCTGAGGGTGATGACTGGCTGGGTGGCACTTGGCTTTGATTCTGCATATTTTATGAGTATGAAAGGCCTTTAGTGGGCTCGCTGAGTGGCCACTGCATCGACCTGACCACCAGACAGCCATGGAAGGCGGGTGCTCCCTGCACCTGTCCGCACAAGTGTTCCTTCACGGCCCCTTGGCTTGGGGCTCCTCGCCAGCTCTGCGTGGATATTTGCTTGTGCGAGCTCCTAGTGTTCACAGCAGCTGGAACACTTCTTTGGAGGACTGAGTCCTCTGATAATTATATTTCTTAAATTATATTTCTTAAAACTCCAAACCCAGAGTCAAATGGAGAGGTCTGTGGCCTATGAGCCAAGTATGTTTTTTTACATTTTTAAAGAGTCATAAGACAAACAAAAAATGAGAAAAGAACATGCAACAAAGGCTATATGTGGCCCACAAAGTCTAAAATATTTATCTGGCCCTTTACAGAAACTTCATCAATAACCTCTTTTCACCCTAAATTGAAGAAAACAGATTCCCAAGAGACCCAGATCACTAATAACATTTTCCTCTTTTCTATTTCTTTTAGATATTTGATTTCTATGCTGATTTAATAACTTTCCCTCCCTTTCTGTAGTCTCCAAAGAAATACAGCCCCTCGGACCCGGCCTTTGCCTATGCGCAGCTGACCCACGATGAGTTGATTCAGCTGGTCCTCAGGCAGAAGGAAACGATAAGCAGGAAGGAGTTTCAGGTTCGGGAGCTGGAAGACTACATCGACAACCTGCTGGTCAGAGTCATGGAGGAAACCCCCAACATCCTCCGCATTCCGGCTCAGGCTGGCAAGAAAGCAGGAAAGGTGTGAGTCACCTGAATAAAACACTGGGACATTTTCGTGAGTTTTTTTCCACCTGCTCTTGAGGTCAGGGACTGCGTATGCCTGAGGATAACCAGCCAACAGGCTCCAGATGACACCTCTCTTGCCTGTTATCTGGCAATTCAGTTCTACCAATTGAAGCCAGGTTAATTATTACAATGAATCTTTTACTGTACATTCCCAGGGTTTTATTTTTAAATACCACCGTGCCTTTAACTAGGGTGTGAATACTTTATTCCACCAGAAACATGGTCATAAGATCTGATCCTGAGCCGGAAGTACAGGTGGCACAGGAGGTGTTAATGCAACTTAACACTGGGGTTTTATTTCTTTGACATGAGATTTTTTTCAAATACGTATCCTCCAGTTATTAAAGCACAGGGTGACATGGGGAAAGAACCATGCAGCTGGTGCTGTGTCACACACACTTTCTTGGCTTTTGAGTAGCTCAGGTGTGGCCTTTTGGCTAAATTTTGATATCATGTAGACCTATTGGGCTACTTGGGTGTTGTTTCTTGATGGGAGCAGAGGAGTTTAGGGGATGCCTCTGAGTTTACCTTCTAGGTTTTGAACAAGTTGCCTTTTCGGAACATCAGCTTCCTCTTCTCTGTAGCCTTAAAATGTGCTCTGTTTAGATCCCTAAAGCCCTTCTACTGGAGATATGAAAGATAGAATACAAGGATTAAGAGAATCACTTTTTACTCAATTAGGGGGAACGTCCCTCCTCTTGTGACAGGAGGGTTCCCGCTGGCTGGACTGGCCTATTCAGTGCCTTAAGGGATTGGGTGATCGAGCACTTGCTAAAACCGATCTGTCAGGTATGGATTCCTTTGGCCATTTCCCCCTGTGCCTTTGCTTGGCTCCCTGGTGTCCTTGGCAGCACTTCCTGGAGGGGGTCAGGGTCCAGCTCCTCGAGATGAAGCAGCCCCTTAACTGTGCAGGTCATGGGGAACCATAACTTGGACCCTGAAGGGCTTGAGCTGCATGTGACTGTCCTTTGAATTCTTCCTGTCCCTACCTGGAAGAAAACCCATCACTTCTGGGTACTGGAGAGGTTGTAGTGAGGGGCTTTATATAGCTAATAAAATTTAAAAGCCAGTGGAAAACAGAAATGCCTCAGACTTTAAACTGTTGCTTTTTTCCACTTTCCTTCATGAAAATAGACCCAGGCATTTTACCTCCTTGTTAGAAAATTGTGAAAAGTATCACAAGATGATACTTACTTTTGGATTGCTATATTTTAAAAACCAGATTAATACACATTTTTTAAAACTAGGGCACTTGCCCCCTTCTTAATTAATAGCAACAGTTCATATTCTTCAGGTAATTTTATTGTTGGTCACCTGATACTGGAATTAGAATGTTTTTGCGTTCTCAGTTTTTCTCCTGGTTGTGATAGAATCTCATCAAATCTTGACATCTCTCATAGGGGAAGAACGTCACAGGCCACTGGTGTAGGCAGGGCTTGAGACGATAGCAGTTATTAAATCGGGAATCTCTTGTCTGTATGTTCTTGTTACATTGTGGTTAAGAAGCCAGATTATTGGCAGCAGAATCCCTTTTCAGGATTATGTTTGCTGCAGCATTGATTATATTGGAGCACTTTAATCTGAGATGATATGTAACTTGATTTATCTAATTAGCGTTTAATTATCTACAGCTATTTTATTTTATTTTATTCTCTCCTACAGTACTGGGGAACACTGTGGACTTCTCAGATGACTTGTATTTTCGTAGTGCTGTGAAATTTATTTACATACCTATAAAGATAACTATATTCACTTGAACTCTGAAAATGTCCATGTATACATTTGTTCTGCATCATGTTTTTTACTTGATATCAATGTATTTTTACTGTGATAACCCAAGTGCGCTGGGGGACAGGTGTGTCCTGAATGGTTTCTCTTCCTTGGAGGAGCTGGTAATGGAGACCCGCATTGTTCACGTGGGGTGGGTGGTTTGGAGACTCTGCTGCTAGGACCTCAGGTGTGTAACTTGGTCAGTGTTTGAGAGGGACCTCGGGGTGGAGGAGTGAATTCCCATGCTCTGAAATGCCACTTGGGAACTTGGGAGAATGAAGGACTAGGACCTCAGGTGTGTAACTTGGTCAGTGTTTGAGAGGGACCTCTGGGTGGAGGAGTGAATTCCCATGCTCTGAAATGCCACTTGGGAACTTGGGAGAATGAAGGACAATTTACTTCAAGGGTGTCTGGCTTCTGCCAGTGCTGGAAAACACTCAGTTTATAGCGTTCCTGCGTGTCACAAAGAAGATAACCTGGAGGTCATTCAGGTCATAACTGTCCTTGAAGACTCTCCTGGGGGTGAGGGGCATTATCTAGGAGAAGCTTCAGCCTGCTCTGAGCCGTTAGCGAGGGTGGTGCATTGGGTCATGAGCTCCTCTAACTGGAGCTTGCGGAAGGGCGTTCATCCATCTGCACAGGAGCTGGGACTTGCCTCTGGCTGCTGCAAGTGTTAACCTAAGGGACAGACCAGGAGGGCCTGTGCTCTGCGGAAGCAGGAGTCGCTCTTCTCTTAGCCTTGCCTGGCTGCCTCCAGAAGGAGCCACAGGTACTTGAGGGGAACATCGGATTAAATAAGTACCAATGATGGACTTCAGCCAGAGTCAGCCTCCTGAAAAGCGTCCATCCTTGGCGTGCCTGTTTCCGCCATCTCGTTCCTCGGACTTGGGCAGACGCCCTGCCTCTCCTTTTCTTCCAGTGTGTTGACCTCATCAAGGCAGCAGAATGCAGGAGAAGGCAGGCCTGCTCTTTGCCGTGCTCCCCAGCTGTGGCCCGGAGTGGAGGGGTGTGTGTGCCTGCGAGTGAGACACGTGGGAGCTCAACGGGGCAGAGAGGGAGAAAGGGCGCGACACTGGCCACCTGTGGTGCTGAGGGCCAGAGGCGGTTTCATGTTAAATTATACAGGCTCTTCCCTCCCTGGGTCCCTTCTCCCAATCAACCTTTTTTTTTTTTTTTTCTAAGAACTACTAATTAATAATTAATGATCCCTCAAGGCTGAAAAATTGCCTTTGATGGAGAACTTAACCTCCATGCCAACCTCAACTCTGGTTTCTCCGTATCTACTACGTGTGCTACTAAGTTGACTTCCTCCTC